AGCTTCCCTGCGCGCCCAGCGCAGGCTGGGGTTGGCGCGCCTCTGGCCAGCGACCGAGGCTGGGCTGCGCTGCGCTGCTGGGCTGGGCTGGGCTGAGCAACAGCTGGCCATGCCTTGCATCCTTATAGAGTCACCATCGTTTTATTAATAAAACCGTACCATGAGGTTGTTTTTTTCTTTTTTAAGGGAATCACCGTTCTTTTATTAATGAAAGCATATCATGATATTTTTCTTAAAGAATACCATCCTTGCCGTCCTAATTGCTAGGACCTTCCAGCCAAATTATACATCCGTGGTATCGAATAAATAAATAAATAAATAAATAACCTGACATCTTTGTAATCTTTAAGACAGAAATAAAGCACTTATGAAGAGGAAGAGAATGAGAAAAAGAAGAAAGGCAGCTGCAAAGGAAAAAGTGGGAGCCATTCTTGAAGTATGTTATAGAATAAAAAGGGGAGAGATTTCTCCACATTGTTCCCCTTCCTAGTCCCTATATGCTAGGCCTTCCTCTTAAGTCTCCAGTATGCAGACATCAGAAAAGGGTCCCAGAGTTCAGGGTCCCAGAACTAGGTTTAGTCCAGAACCCGTGGGGTGGAGCTCACTGGAGGTTAGAGGAGGGAGACAGAACCTTAGGCAGGTCCCAGAACCTTAGATCCTTTTCCCCCAGCATAGTGGAATCAGGCCGAGCCTCCGTCCTGAGCCGAGACCTCTCCAAACGAGCGCAGAGGAGTCTAATTCTCCCGAATTTCTGACGCCAACCTCGCCCTCCCGTCTGCTGCAGGGTGGGTACTCAAGGTCTTCTCTTGAAGACTCACTGAATCGCAGGGTTGGGAAGGGACTCCAGAGGTCACCCTGTCTACTTCTATAGAAGGAAAAGCAAAGAGAGACATCCACCCACGTGTTTCTCTTGTATGATGGTTAGAGAGGACTAGGGCCAACACCTCTGGGCAGCCAGCAGAGAAGGAAGAGGAAGGACAGGACAGTGTCCAGGGACCAAGCTCACTCCTCTTCTGCTTGCTTCAGAATGAAACCTTAGGGAAGAGACATATTTGGATTTTTTTATACTAATTGCTAAAACCGTAGACCCAGATTCATCTTGATTGAATCTAGAGGTCTTCCCTACAGGAGACCTATTTTTAAGAGGACCCCTCCCCTCCCAACACCTCGAGTGCACTTGGTTAAGAACCATGGATGGCTAGGCCGAAAATCCAGGTATCATAATCTTCCTTCTCATTCCTGTTTCCTTCTGCTTTCCCACCAACAAAATTCTTTTTCTGTTGTCCTCTTTCTCTTGCCTCATACCTCCCTCTTTTTCTTTTCCAAAGGGATTCTCTTTTCTGCAAAAGCTGCCTTTGCTGTGAGTTTTACAGCACCAATGAAATATTTTTGTTTCCCAAAATAAGAGTGGAGTGCTGGAACACATTTTTCACTCCCTTTCAGACAAATATCATCTGACCTAGTAAAGCCCTTCCTCAAATTCTCCTCCAAGTTGGTTGTTTAGGCCTAGAGGCAGCCATGGTTTCTGGTCTGAAGCCACATCTTCATGTAAAGTGGGCCTACAGAAGTTAGAACATGAGCCAATCTCATAGGACACTGTGGTCTCTTTCATTTCCATCATTAAACCCAATTATTCATTAGAGTGGCTCTTAGAATTTTGACTTTTGCTGCCCTACTATGTGCTTTCTTTTCCTCATAGTCATCATTCTATATTTATTGAAATTCAGGAGGTACTTTTCCTGGAGTGTATGTATACCCCCTCTTCCTTCTATATTCCCCAGAACTTCAGTAGGCAAAAATATCACGTCAAAGAGATTTTTCAGCTTGGATAAAGGAGCTCCTCTTTCCTCTCCTACTTCTCTTTCGCTGCGCCAAGATTCCCCCCACTTCTGATTTTATGAATCCACCAAAAGTTCAGCCCAGACCTCTTAGATGGACCACAGAAAAGTAAAGCAAAAATGTTTGAAAGAGGTTAGGTAGAGTGGGAGGGAGGAAGAGAGACAGAATAAGAGTTTTTAAAACTGAAGATCTAGATTTGGGTCTTGGGAATACGAACCCATTCTCCAATGGCTTGTGAAAGGAAACTAAGAAGGCCTTTTACAAAACCACGTTCAATGAGACTGATCAGTGAAAATCAACCATTCTAAAATACATATAGACATTGATGTGTCCAGGCAGACCATAGGTACATATACAGTTACACATTTGCAAAGTGATTATCTGTGGGCCTTTAATATAAATTATATACTATATGTATGTATGTATGATATAAATAAAAGTGTCACATAAAAATTTCTACCTACCCTCATCCCAATTTGCGTCTGACTGGCTATATGCACATCCAGCTAGAGTCAAACAACTGGAGCCTGCACACACACAGATCTAGGCATGTGGACAGATGTTTGACTTGTCAAAGACCCTCAGATGAAAAGGACAGAGGGAGCCTCGCACTGGCACTGATCTGGGCTCAGTCTGCCGTAGAGGGGAAAAGAAAGAGAAGGAGGGGGTTGGTGGACTAATGATGAAAAAGTCTCCTCCAACCCAGCTCCTTAATTAAATGCATGGAAAGAACCGAAGCAAGCACATCTGGTTTCAATCTGAAGCCCTTTGATGGCATCAAATGTTCTTTTCCCAGATCAGGGGGCTGGAAGTTCTGGGCTAACTATGGCAGTTTGGAGCCCAGACTCCTGCCATTTACACACACGATCCCTCCTCTCCTGTTGAGTCTCTCACTTTAAAAAAAAAAAAGAGCAAGCCAAAGTTGGGGGGGGTGGCATGTGTTTTTTTAGACGAGAACACAAAACACCACAAATAAACACTCAATATTTTACCTGCCAGCCATGTAGTAATTCATTTCTAATGAGACTATTAAAGCTGTTACTGAATTCCAACAGGTCAAGAAAAATTTGCTCAGCACTTCTTCTTCCTCCTTATTTAGGCTTTGCTGCTCTGAGGACAAAAGTGTATATGTATATTTAGACAGATATTTTCTGTCTGTCTGTCTGTCTGTCTGTCTGTCTGTCTGTCTGTCTCTCTCTCTCTCTCTCTCTCTCTCTCTCTCTCTCTCTCTCTCTCCCTCTCTCTCTCTCTCTGTCTCCTCTGTTCCTTCAAAGTTGAAAGGAAGGAGCAGGACTCTGAATACACCAATCCATCTTATCCCAGTTCCAAGCTCTTCTGAGTAACCTTTATATCCATTATTACCCGAGCTATCCCCAGTACCCCGCCAGATTGGTATTTCTATTTAGTTGACTTGGGAGGCATCTTAGCTGGATAAAATGAGGTAACAAAATTGAATGGGGTGGTGAGCATTTTATTTTAATCAGTTCCCTTGGGAAAATGAATAACACAGTTATCAAGTCGGAGAGGTACAGACGTCTAAAGCTTTAGATACAAAGTATAGTCCTCCAGAGAAGGCGTGGGAGATCCTTACATTATTTATTATTGTTATTTTATTACATTATTTAATAGGCTGTCAATACACAACCACATCCAGCCCCCCACCTCCCCTTATATCTTTCTCCACTCAGTCTCCCACCCTCCCTTGCCTAAAGCAAAACTGTTGGAATTGCAGGAAACGTTAAAAAGAGAGAGAGAAGAAAATTTGATTGCGATGGATGTGGATTTTTTCCAAAAAGTTTCCCCGCAGCTGTTATCAAAACATGCAAATGAGATTTTTCCAACAGGATCTTAAGCAAATCAGGAGGAGTTAATGCTGAAGCAAAATAATCAGCCCGTTTGAAGTGTCTGTGGGTTTCAGTTTGCCTTCTCTCCCTGTGATACTATTGCAGGGGAATGATAATTAGACCTTTACTTACGAAATCCGAAGGGGTTCGCTCGCGCCCCCTCCCTCCCTCCTTCCCCTCTATTTCTCCCCCCCCCTCAGATGTTGGCAAAGAGGGTTTTCTTAATCAGACTGTTTTTTTGGTCCGGGGGAAGGAGGAAGAGGGAGATTGTGATGGAGAAAGGGGTCTGTAAAACGTCAGAAACAGCACAAAGACTTTGCCACGTAATTACAGGCTCCTATTAAGTCGAGATCTGCCCTCCCAGGGGTCTCCAATTTTCATGTATTCCATACAAAGCCTCCTCTGCATGCCAGTTAGTGCCTTTTGAAGTGCCAGAGAGCTTCTTGATCCAACTGAGAAGGGAAAAGGAGCTCAAAAAGAAGAGGGGGAGAGAGAGAAGGGAAAGGAAAAAAAAATCACCACCCTCCCTTGGACTCTTGAAACCCTCATTTTTTTTTATTCCTTTACGAAGAGCAAAGTGAGCGTCCTGCTCTCCAATACATCTGCAAGACATCACCCTCTTCTCCTGAAACTTTAGTCACTCCTGAGAATCAACAGGAGTGCAGAGAGGGGGGAACACGTTTTCTTGAAGATGTTTTAAAGCTGGAACAAGCCTTCTTCTGTTGGTGCTTGAACTCTTGCCTGGGAATAACTTCTTAAAGTAAAAAAAAAATCAAAACCACTTTGATTTTTCTCTTCTCCTCCCCCCCAACTTTTCGCTCTTCTTCTGTTTGCGGAACTCCCTCCCCATCCCTGCTGGCTTTCCCTTCCCTTGCTTCCCCTTATTAATAATAACAACAGCAACATTATTATTATCATCATCATCATCATCATCATCATTATTATTATTTTAGTGCTTGTGAAAGTTTTGGGGGAACTGGAAGCGATTTTTTTCTCCCCGAATGTAGGGCGATTTAAAAAAAAATTTTGATTGTGTGGAATATCTCTTTGGAATTCTCCGGGCTTCTGGGCTACAGGAAACCAGCGAAGGCTGCAGGAGGTAGCCAGTGGAGAAGGTTCTGCTCTTCAAAAGGGGTCCCCGCCTTCTTTACTTTTTTTGCTCTCTCTTTCTCTCTGTCTCTGTCTCTCCCTCTCTCTCTCTCTCTCTCTCTCTCTCTCTCTCTCTCTCTCTCTCTGTCTCTCTCTCTCTCCTCTCTCTCTCTCTCTCTCTCTCTCTCTCTGTCTCTCTCTCTCCCTCCCTCTCTCTCTCTCTTTCTCTCTTCCCCCCTCTCTCCCCCTTTCCCTCTCTCCTCCCCCCTTCTCCTTTTCCCACTCTGTCTCTCTCCCCCTTGCGCCCACAACGTTTGGTGCTGATCCGAGCGGGAAGAGGGGGGTGGGTGGGATTGGAGGGGGAAGACCATGACCTCCAGCTATGGGCACGTTCTGGAGCGGCAGCCGGCCCTGGGTGGCCGCTTGGACAGTCCCGGGAACCTCGATAACCTTCAAGCGAAAAAGAACTTCTCGGTGAGTCACCTGCTCGATCTGGAGGAGGCCGGTGACATGGTGGCCGCCCAAGCGGATGAAAGCGTCGGCGAGGCGGGACGCAGTCTGCTGGAGTCCCCCGGACTGACCAGCGGCAGCGACACTCCTCAGCAAGACAGTAAGTGTGGGTTCCCCAGCCTCCGGACAGACTGGGACGGGAATGGGCTTCGGGGAGCTCTTGGGGAAAGTCGACAGAGATAGACAAGAGGCAGGCAGGCGGTGGGGAGGAAGAGAGGATAGCGGCTAGGGGAGAGAGGAAAGGGAGACCTGTAACTGGGGAGGATCAAGGGACCTGGACGGTGGGTCAGTCAGTAGTCAGGGCCAAGAGCGAAGAGGAGAGTAGGGGATTTTGTACCAGTGAGCAGTGTTACTATTTCTAGAGCGTCCTTGTCTAAAGTGGGATCAGGCTTGAGTTAGAAGCTCTCGTCAGTCTTCCGTCTGCCTAGTAAAGAACTGGGGACCAGCATTTGGGCTCTCCTGCTTTCTTGAGCTAATGGGATTTAATATGTTGTCTCCTCCTACTTTTCTTATCAGGACTTAGAACCCCATAAACAGGAGGGAGGAGGGAACTGAGTGATAGCGAATGCGTCTGGGATGCTTTGATAGGAGTGGGTTGAAAACTGTAGGAGGTGGGGAGTAGGAAAACCGAAGCCGAGAGGGAAACAGGCGGAGGAGTGAAGAACTAAGAGAAGAGGAAAGTTCTCTGAGGTAGTGAGTGGCCGGTTTGCTCGCGGGCAGTTGCCTAGCAGGCAGAGTCCAGTAACACAGACAGTAAGAGGGCCCGGCAATCCTCTTGAAAACGCAGGGAATCCGACTGGAGGGCACTTGGTGCAGTTTGTCTGCGAATCGGCCCGCCCCTGCGCGGCCTCGGAGGTCCGAAACTGAGCCCGATTCCGCCGTTCTGGGATACGGGATTCGGATGGAGCATCTTTCCATCCCCAAACCATGCCTAATGACTCCGCCAGCTTACAGTCGCAGAACCAAAGCCGACCCAACCAAATTCTGAGCTCCCTTGAGAACATGTAGGGCTGCGAGAAGTGCCCCTTTGTACAGAAGGGAAAACAGGACTTTCACTTAGTCTCCTACCCACCGCGGTCACAGACCCTCAGGGTGCATCCACACTCTTGCTTAAGGTGCTCAGGAGTGGAAGGTTCAAGGCACTGTCCGAACACATTCTGTGGAAACTTTGGATTTCTCTCCCTGCCAACTAGCCACGCAAGGCAATTCTCCTTCCCATACTGCCACAGACTTCTTCATCCAGAGCTCTTGCTCTCGATCTATCAAAAAAAAAAAATCATTCTAAGCACCATTCAAACCCAAATTTCCATTATAACGCCGTCTAATCAATCGTACCCTGACATGCGTTTGTTTGGCCATTGGGCCTTCAGTTCTGTTAACAAATCTACCCCAGGCAGGTATGGTCGTACTCCAGCTTCGCACTGGGAGAGGACTGAGGGAATTTCGGCATCGTCTATTTAGTTGGAGGAAATGGCTGGCCCCTAGAAAATTGTATGTTTTTGAATTTGGTTGTTAGTCCCTTTGTGGGGCGGGGGGAGCTTTCTTAAGAGAGATTTTATCACTTTTTTCCGTAACTAGGTAGATTTTTGCTCTGGAATTAGAAAATGTGAATTTAAAGTGTGTGTGTGTGGTGTGTGTGGTGTGTGTGTGTGTGTGTGTAAACATCACCCTCCCTCATGTTTCTCCAAAAGAAACTGCTGTAAATGGATGTGCCTTGAAACAAGAAATGAGACGATGAGAAATCGAGACGTTTACCTATATTATTTATTGCTCTGGAAGATACCTTCCTAAGAAAGCCAGAACGTGTTTCTTTTGGTATGCACAGCACCCCCCTCATCCCACCCCCCAGTAGCCCAGAGAAGATGCCGGGGGCCCGTTCGACTCTGCATTCTTTCACCTTTCTGAGCACTTGACCGGGTGCGGTGGGAGAGTCTAGCAACTCAAGATGGTCCCTCCTTTGCTCAGTAAAATTGTCTCGTGACTAAGAAGGCCAATTATTCACCATTCCAATTGTCAAGTTATGAAATGGTACCTGGGGAGTAAGGTGTTGGGTGGAGGAAGTATAGTCTTCAGTGCCTCACTATTCCTCTTTAGAAAACTCTTGCCGCTCTTATGTAGAAAGGCATCTTGTAAATCGCCTATAATTTATTATTTGTGCAAACATTTGATATTCTTCGGGAGGATTCAGGGATCCTGCACGTAATATAAAATCAAGCCCGGAGGAAATTGCTGCATAAGACATTGACATAGCCGAAATGGACTGAATCTCAAGGTCTCTTTCCTCCCCAAGAACAAGATAACCAGAAAAGAGAAGCAGGCCGAAAACTTTATGATCCCTATCAGGCCAATTAATTTTCTGCAGCGCCTGAAAATCTTCCTAATCATGGAATACTACAAGGTTATAGCACCGTGGCAGTCCTGGCCATTTGTTTATAAAAGCACTTTATATGCTCTGAGAGGAGAGCTGGAAAATATATGATTTCCTGGTGCTATATATATAGGAAGTGCAGAGGTATTTCCCTGGGGAAGGAAAAGATGGGTTGAGTGACTGAATAAGCACTTCTGCTGGGCCGGGAGACAGTCTGTTGGGCCTGTAGAGGGACTGCCTAGAAAAGGCTGTTCAGAGGCTGGAGGTGGGAGGGAAAGGTAGCATTCCCAAGAAGAAGAAAGGACAGTGGGATTCAAAATCATTTCAAAACATCATTTCAAAACAAAACAGAACAGCCTGTAGGCTGTTCTGCAAATTCGATTTTTGATGTGTGTTAGGTTATGCAGCTTGTCTGCACCGACAGTGAATAAAGGGCAAGGTATATAAACAATCCAAATGGAAAGCTATGTCCCGAGGGAAAGAGGTGTCTGGGCTCGGATTCTCGAGGTGTCTGGCTCAGAAGGTAACAAGTGATCCCAGATCACAGTAAGATCCAGGAGGGCAGGAGAGAGAAATTGCCCTGCCCCGGAGGTGAGGCGACAAGTCCAGCGTACTGAAAGCCTTGAACGGGGCAAGCTGATAATGGAGAGAAAAGAGAGGGTTGGTGAAGGATGGTTGACAGCTCCCCTTCTCCAGACAGAAGAGTAATTTTTAGTATTGCCAGATCCATTTAGTTGTAACTACGAAACGCGGAACAGAATGAAGAGAGTTGGGGCAGGGATCGAGAAGAGGGTTTTGGTTGGTGGTGGGAGTAGGCAATAACAAAGCAGACACATTGTTGGGAAATCTTAGGGGCAGGAGCACGAGCGTGCTTGCAAGCCACACAAATTAGATGCTAACAAGAGATATGGATGAGATATTTTGACAAGTAGGATTGTTGCTTTTAGAGTCCGTCTGTTTTCTCAACCCCGCTTCCCTCCCAGCGTCTCCAGTGATCAAAACATGCCTATCAGCGTATCAGATAACTTTCGAGGTACCAAAGGCAGAAGGGTAAGGGCCCATCCAAGCTCGATCCATCCTCAGATCAGAAGCTGTTAATGAAGATTCCCAAGGCGAACTCTTGTGATTTTCTTATGGAGCTAAGACTCCTGGTGCTGTGACAAGCTTCAGGACTCGGGTCGAGGTGATAAATTACCCTAAGTGAGGGGGGAAAAAAGACAAAGAGTGAATACTCACAGGGCTCCCTCCCACTGGGATTCAGTGAAGCGAATTCTAAATTCTTTCCTTCGAGGAAGTTATTACAATGTGGAAGAAAGATCCTAGTTTATTACAGTGAGGAAGAAATATCCTTGCCCGTTAAAGACATCCGAATTTTTTTTTTTTGTGGAGGTCCAGCTGTTGGGATAGGTTTCCCCATTATCTTCACCCCGAATTTCTTATTGGCGTGAAATTAGTAAAACATTCTTCCTTTGTGCGGATGGTCAATACGTGATCTTTAGGAAATACGAACACACACACACACACACACACACACACACACACACACACACACACTCTTTCTGTACTCCAGTCTCCAGGTCCTCAGGCTTCATTGAACCACATTTAGATCTCTAAATGGCTCTTTCTAAAGATCTAAGCCTTTTGCGGGCTTCGAATCTCTTCATTTAAATTCTAAACAGGGAAAATACATATATATGTGTATATATGTTTTCAATTGTCCTTGGAGAAATTCGATTTTCTTTGTTTAGTCATATTTATTTCTTCTTCCCTGAGAAATTTTCTCTTTTCCTGACTCGGTGTCTTCTGCCTGGCTCTTGCCTCTCCCTAAAGTACCCAAGATTATACTTCGTAGAGAGTCTTGGGTGTCCCACAAAGCTCCCAGTTAGAAACAGAAAGGGTGCGCTAATGGGGGAGTGAGTGTATGTCCGTGAGAGTTTGGAGGGGGAGGATTTTTTTTTTTTTGGAGAGTAAGTGGGACTCATAAAAATGTGAAGACCCACTTCTGGGAGGTGGTGCATCCTGCTGTCATTTCTTAATCTGAACTTCTGCAAACTCTAAAAGAAAAAAAAAAACGCCTGCCTGCCTTCCACGTTTCCGACCTCTAAATTAGTGAAACCAGATTGTCCTAATAAGACCTTTTGTTGGAAACACATGTAGCTATAAAAAGGTAGACAGAAAGTCAATTAGACACACGCGAGCGCCTGTACACACGAGAGCAAAATGATGCAAAGCGTAGACCCAAATGGAATGGGTGCAGCACAAAATCAGCGGAGCGTTGGGAGTAATCCATTAGTCACAAAGAGCTGGGGAGCTCGGGATGAAGCAAGGTGTGAAGGCTGGGAGTTCGAGCCAGAGCCCGAACCCGCCAGTCCAGCCAGGATAGCTGAGGCCGCAGCAGACCCAATGACAGGAAATCTCTCCTCGTCTCTGGCGCCGGGGGAGTTTGTCCCAAACCCCGCTGGGGGCAGATATCATTCTTTATACTGGACATCTATTTTGATTCTCATCAGATTGAGCATTTCTTAAGTAAAGCCAATCTCACTCCCCAGCGGTCCTGGGAACGGGAATTTTCCTCCTCGATTTATTGCGAACATGTATTGGCATGGGCGGGTGTGTGTGTGTGTGTGTGTGTGTGGTGTGTGTGTGTGTGTGTGTTTAAGAATCAAAATCTGGGATCCAGCTACTAGGATTCAAATTGTGGGCAGGGGAAACCAAATTATCATTGAAACATTGCTTATGAATTTTAAAAGAAAGAATGTACTCACAAAGAGGAAAGCATTAAGGAAATGACAATCTGCAAATAAAATAATAATCGTCATCAACCATCACCATCACCAGAATCATCATCACCAACATTATTCCAATTATCTTTTCTCTAAGTTGAATTACCAAGGATTCCAGTTACTGCCTGGGAAGGCAAAAGGCCCGGTGGAGTAGTGCCCACCACTCTCTCCGAAAGCACCCAGTCCTGCTTCTCTGGATGCATAATAGGATGTTCTGTCCTCCCTATTTTCTTTCTTTTCTTTTCTTTTTTGAGGGGAGAGGATAGTTTGATTTGTTAGTCATTCTAACTCCCTTCAGGCACACAGGTAGGCTTCCTGCAGGAATGAACCAATTCCTTCTTTACTAGACAGTTAAGGAGATCTGGGAATGCCGGTTAGTGACTCCTGTCAGCCCGTCTCCCTCTTCCTCTAGCTTTGGAGAGATTCCCTCACACCTTAGCATATACCAGAACTTTAAGACACCTTAGAGATTATCTAGGCTCACCTCCTCATTTTACAGAAGGAAAAACCCAACCAACCGACAACAACCATACTTCACACAAGCCTGTCCCTCTCCCAAAGGCCCTGTCCAACTTGTTATTAATTGTGGAAGTTATAGAACGGCACACATTCGTTCCCAAAAAGGGAAAACGAACATAATAATGGTCACCGATTCATGATTACTGCCAGGTGTATTCACATGGTTGGAATTTAAAGGCAGGTTGTGACTGGGAGTGCCTACAGTTGTTTGGTCTTTCCAGGGGTGCTGCTAATATTCTATCATATGAGTAAATGAACAGTAAAGAGAAACAAACATCTCAAAAAGCAAAGCAAAGCAAAACAAAACAAAAAAAAAAACCACAAAACACCCCACTTGCATTAGAGCCAACTCTCCAGAGAGGATCCAGAGGGTTTTCTGGAGCCAGTCTAGCCCACACTAGGAAGTCTGAAAATACATTTCACTAGGATCGTCCGTTTCTGCAAGTAGAGATTCCGAACACCCTTCTCTGAGCTAAGGGAGCACAACGCGGGAACTGACGGAAGAAGGGAAGCGATAAAGAGGTTTTTATTTGTTTGTTGCCCCAGCAGAGGATTAGCAATAAAGGGAATCTGTGAGATTAATTCAATTTTTAAAGGTGAGTTTCCTTTGTAATTCCTCTTCCTCCCCTTCGAGTACCAGGAGCACAGGCAAAGCATTAAGTGTAATGCCTGGGAAATATTAGACCTTTGACAGAGAGCTAAGGGAACTTTCCACCAACCTGGAAAGATGGATGTATTGACATTTGTGTAATGCGGTGGCTCTTGCAGCAGGGAATCCACATTCCCACCCAAACCAGAAACTAATCGAATTTATTGAGCGATGGAGAAAATGATAGCTAATAGTTAACATTTATTTAGTGTTTTAGGACTTGCAAAGCAAATTGGCTGGACCATTGTGAACTATTATAAATTGGGAGTAGAGGGTTGTGTGTACCTTTGGGGTGTGTGTGTGTGTGTGTGTGTATGTGTGTGTGGTTTCACACTCACCTCAGCTTCTACTGCCTTTGCAGGTATGTGTAGAGGGTTGGGTTTGGGGACCGTTTTAAGAAAATAAAATATAAATCTTATGAAACAGCACTCCCAGCCCAAAGGATGGTCCAAAGTACACTCTCCACCTTGACGGTTCCCCCTCAAGCTCGTAATTAGAAGTTCATGTCTGCCTTTCGGCATCCAAACATTTATAAAGCTGCAGCGGTGTTGACAATTAGATTGAAAAATCATTGTCATGGCCAAGTATTTTACTTTTACTTGCCACTATTAGAATCTGAGACCCTTAAGAGCAAGAACTATCTTCTGCCTTTCTTTGTATTCCCAGTGATTAGCACAGCGCCTGGCACATAGGAGGCACTAAATAAAAGCTTATTAACTGACTGATCCTGGTGGCCACTCTATTGCTCCCACCATTCTTGCCCTCCAACACCTTTCCAATGATATAAACAGAGACAAATAATTTTTAAACGTGTGTATCCATATGTATGTGACATGTATATCCTTGTAAAATAAAATTGTCATTATATTCTGGGTGATCAGAAGCCTCCAGTAATGCTAACATCACCAAAAACATAAGTGCGGTAGCATAGTAAATGACCCCGGTCTAAATCAAGACAATAAAGACAGGGGACAGCTGCTGGAATTAGTTTTTAACTGACTGACAGCGTTTTAATGGCTAGATCAACAGGTGGGAGACTTAGGAAGGAGGATAGGTTTACAAAAATTTTACTCTTGTTGTAGGATGTATTTCCCATAACATCCACCCTACCTTAAAAACAAAACTAAGTTCTACACTGTACTATATTATATTAGGGAAAAGAAATGTAATATAGATTTTTACCATTCTGATCCTTCCCCAGGAAGATTCTCCATGATATTGTTACCTGCAAAGACTGGTGATGCTCACTTTGGGGTTGTGTGTGTGTGTGTGTGTGTGTGTGTATGTGTGTGTGTTTGTGTGTAAAACACTGTATTTGTGGTCTCAGAACCTGGGTTTGGATCCCAAGTCCTGAGATCAAGACACTTAAATTTGGTCTCAGTTTTCTCATCTGTTAAATCAAAGAATTAGACTAGATGTCTTCTTGGCTCCCTTCCACCTCTAACTCTGGGATCCTATAAAACAGAGACAGAGACATATATGAAGAGATTAAAAACAAATCTTAACCAACCATTAATCTATAAATTACCTTCCCCCAAGTAGTAGGAATAAATTGAATTACCTGGGATTAGCTTTTCCTCTCTTCCTAGAACTGAGGAATATGTATTTGAGGCATGTACTTGAACAGAGTATTTTTTAAAGCTTCTATCTTCAAAGATCTGTTTACAACCCAAAAGTATAAGATAGATGCATATGGAATATGAGCTACATAATGGATACGCAGTAGTCTAGCATGGTGTGCTGAGTACAGTAGGCATTTAATAAATGCTAGTGGAATGGTGTATAATATCACCAATCCCTCAACAAGAAAGATTTTGGTGTTTATTTTATGCATTATCCATCACCCCTATTTGTCCCACAAATAAGGCAAGAATGTTTTTAAAAAGACAAATAAACAATTTTTAAAGCAAGTTCCTTAGATACAAGTTTGGTTAAAAGATAGGATCGCCTCCTCCCAACCTCCACTGTTTCCATTTCAACTCTCTACTATTTTGTAAGGTTACTTGTGGAAAGTTCATGATTTTATTTACTTTTAACGAGCAAGCAGACACTGGAGGTGAATTTCCTCCTAAAAGTGACTATGCAGAAACACTCTCACACCAGGTCTTAGGTTGACCAGAACTATTCAGATCTGATTTTGTGTTCCCTTTGATATGAATACTGAGGAAACGCTTTAAAAACTATGACTATACCTTCAGGAAATTTACACTATTCCTTTATGTGCCCTAATCCCTTCCAGACCATGAAAAACCTATGACCAAAAAATCCTTCTGAACACTTGCTGGAATTTGGGCTGATTTAACCAGAGCACATCCCTAGTCCAGAAGCTCTGACCTTTCTTTCTCAGTCCAAAAGGGGGCACCCCATTTCCCTCTAATCTCAGATTAGGATCTAGTGTCCATAGGATCTCCTGGAGAAGTAGAGGGAAAGCATTGCTCACCACTCAAAGGGTGGAGTTGGCTATTGAGCTTCAGGAGTAGAAGCTTAAAAATAGGAAGAGTAGGGAAACTTTTTAGAGAAAAAAATATATATGCCATATAGGAGAGAGATAAAGGTCAGGGAAGAGGGAGGGAGGGGAAGGGAGAGAGAGAGAGAGAGAGAGAGAGAGAGAGAGAGAGAGAGAGAGAGAGAGAGAGAGAGAGAGAGAGAGAGAGAGAGAATTAAAGTAGCCTAAGTGAATACTGGTTTACGATCTGTTTCAGAGCCAGAAGATCCATGATGTTTAAAGAATGAGGAAAGGAATGGAGGTTACAGGAGAAGAAGGAGGACATAATGTATTCTAGGTGGAAGTTAGGGCTGATGACTTGTGACCTTTCCATGTCTGTGCTCTAGATATAGGAGCTATGGCACTATAGAAATATCAAAGTCCCCTGTCCCCTGGTCCTTATATTTAAGGACAGATGTGACTGATTTGGGGAAATATTCTTCAGTTTTCCAGGTGTCTCATTTGAAACAAACAATATGAGGCAAGTATTTGTGTAAAATACTGCTGGGTGCCAGTGTCAGTGAAACTCCGCCCCCCCATCAAATTTAGAGAAGAAACCATTCTTTAAAACAAAAAATAGAAGTGGAGGATAACTCTAGACAAAAAAATCAGCTTTTTTTCTGCTTACTTTGAGGACCAGTGGTGGTGGTAGAATATATAACATAAACTGCCTGATTTAACCCTCTTCACATTCCCCCTTCATTTCCTTCTTTGAGCCTTTCCCCTTATTCCCTCTCTTTATCACTTGGAAATCTCTGAGTTCCCTCTAGCTATTCAGGCCCTAGGTGTTTCAATGCCACGCTCAAGATATACCTCTCCTTGGATACATTTTCCTGGCTAAATCCCATCCTACCCTGATTACTACTACTACTACTACTACTACTACTACTACTACTACTACTACTACTACTACTACTACTACTACACTTGTTATAGTAAGCACCATAGAGTTTAGCATTTAATTGTTTTCTAATAGTTTAATGTGTATTAATTTTGCTCTCAAAGCTTCTTGAGGTAGACACTGTCTTGTATTTCTTTTTGAACTCACTTCCCTTTGCCCTTCCCCTCTTAATTCTTTGAGCCACTTTTGGTCATATATATGCTCAACCAATCAATAAAAGACACAATAATAAATTGTTGCTAGGTATAATTCTATATTTTTAGAATCTATAACCCTGAGTATGAACTATTCAATCATTTTTTTTCTCCAAAGACAATGGTTCTCAGACTTTTTTGGTGTGCAAATCACATAAGGAATACAAAAGCCAGCCACGCCAAACCAGACCACCCTACTTGTCTTCACTTGAAACCAAACAAGCAAAAAAAGCTTTAAAAAATGATCCTGAGATCTGTGTGAGCTACAGTATCCCTATCACTCCTTGTTGCTCCAAGCTTTAGTCGATGAATTTTCAGAAGCCAATCAAAATGGACCAGTTCTTTCTCTTCCCTCACTCTCTTCTTTCTTTTTTCTCTTGTGCTCACTGAGATTATACAGATAAGAACAGATGTTGTCTTTGAAGTTTGGACCGGCCTGTAGATCATCTGGAAGCCCACACTTGGAAAGCTTATTGCTTAAAGGAATCATTTATGCATGATCCTGTAGAAGAAAGAAGAAGGAAGGACATATAGTTGTAGAAGATTGAAACCTTTCTGGTTCTAGAAGACAAACAGCTTCCATTTATATATTACCTTTTGCTTAAGAAAGCATTTTTACTACGTATATTCTCTTACTATAACTGAGTGAGGTTGGTAGGACAAGTCTATTGGAGAACTTTTGCAAGTGGACTCCTTCCACAATGCAAAATGCAACCCATCTAGGACTTAGATATTCCCTAGTAGGTTTCTTGAGGCTTAGACTTGCCTAGGGTCTGGGGTAGTATGAAGTTTATAAGTATCAGAGGTAAGGTTTGAACCTAGGTCTTTTTTTATCTTCAAGCTGAGTACTCTATTCACTAGGCCATGTTGCCTTCATGAAGCTATTATCACCCCATTTTACAGAACAGAAAACTGAGGCTTAGGAATACTAAAGACCTACTCTGTCACTCAGCTCCCAATGCTATATAAGGGGAGAAGGAAACAGCATTTATTTCTATGTGCGGGTATTGTGCTGAGTGATTTACACATAACTCTAATCCTCACAGCAGCCCTGTGAGGTAGGTGCTATTATTATCCTCACTTTATGGTTAAGGAAACTGAGACAGATAGAAATGACTTGCCCATGATCATATAGCTAGGAAGTATCTGAGGCCGGATTTGAACTCAGGTCTTCCTGACCAGGAAGGCCTTTTGATTCCTTTTTGAATTCTCTTTCTCCCAGAGCTGCATCTGAATTCCCTGATTTTCCCTTACAATAAAGTTATTTGAGGTTAACCCCGCTTTTACTTTTGTGAAAACTTCAGATCTCTATGATGTCCCTGATGTGAGAACCTCCTCCATTAACGCAGCTGGTGACTCCTCCATCTTTAGTAAGTGTAAGGTGGCTTCAGGAGTTGTGGTAACCAGAGAACTAATCATATTGTAGCCTCCAGCAATGAGCTTTGCTCAACTCAGCTACATTAGTTCTCAGAGGACAGAAAAAAAAGTCTTTTGCTGGACTCTTACCAAAGCCCTTCCATCCTGGCAGAATATACCTGTCCAAAGCTTGCTTGGTTTAGCTTCAAGAGCGCAGGGTCACTTACACACACATAACAGTGAGGTGTGAAAAGAGAACCTCCATGGAAAATTATAGATTCAAAGAAATAAAAGAAGAAATTACTCATGAAGTGTGTTGTGGTGTTTAGAGTATTGAACTTTGGATTCAGAAGACCTAGGTTTGAATTCTTAATCAGACACTTAGTAGCCCAGTGACCCTGGGCAAGTCAACCTCCTTGAGACTTTTTCTCTATAAAACCAGGATGATAATAGCACCTACCTCATAGGATTGTGTTTTAAGGATCAAATGAGATCATGAATGTCAAATAATTGCCAACACAAAAGTACTATGTAAATGACAGTCATTAATATTACCATTTGACATCAGGGAAATGAACATATAGGACTACGCTTCACAGTAAGACAGTGATATATTTCCTGAGACATGTCTCCTGAGAATAAGGAATTATGGGGAAAATGAGAAGGGGTGGTAACCCATTTAAATGGGCTACTTATAAAAGGATACATTGGTAACTGCTTTATACTGGGTATTTTTAACCATTTTAGTTTAAGGAGTTTTTTTCTTTCTTAAAGAAAAACAGAAATTTTCACCTTCTAAATCAGTATATTTAGTAGTTTCTCTCAGGCAGCTGATCTATTAAGAAATTGGTTTTGGTTTTAAGGAAGTGAATCAGGAAAGGTATTTTAATAAGAATAAAAAGGTAAGCAAGATGAAAAAACAGCAAGTAGCTGTAATTTTATTGTTCCATCTCCTCCTCTTCCAGTTAAGAATAAAAATTAAAAATAAAAATATTTTTAGCTTTAAAAAAACTCACTGGGGGTGGGGGGAAGTTGCAAAGTTCTCCATATTGCTTGTTTCTAAAGAGGGGAAAATAGAACCACCCAGTGAGATCTTTGTCTATAACCAGATGTGTTGTGCAGTAATTCTAATCCTTAAGATGGGTGGAAGACCATGGTCTCAACCCTCAACACATTTAAGAAATAAATTGTAATTTAGTACATTAATCAAGAAACTGAAATCTGCAGTTTTGCTAGGCATATTTCAGGGACTGAATCCCTTCTGACAGAATAAAAAAGCCATATAACTGCCCACTTTTGCTCTTCCTGTTCTTCCCTTCTTCAGCATGAAGTTTTTCCTCTATGTGTGTGAGACTGTGAGTGTGTGTGACTATGTAGTCCTAAAGATTTAACAGGCCATGTTTAAATTCTAGTCCCTCTTGGGAAAGACAATATAGCATAAAGGAAAGAACTTTGGATTTAGAGTCAGAAAATGTGAGTTCAAACTCTAATTCTGGTGCTCAGTGCCTGTGAACCTCTCTGGGTCTCAGTTTTCTAATTCGTAAAATGAGAGGATTGGGCTCTAAAAGCTGTAATATCCTTCTTCATTCCATGCTTTCTCCTTTCTTCCTCAAATTCTCCTACTCTTAGGGTGCTTTCAATGTTTATTGAGTATCTGGTACTTTTTGCTTCGAGGAAATTCAAAGTTAGCAGAGTGAATCTTCAGCAAACTCAGACTATGTCCAAAAGAGGTTACACACTAAAGATACTGATTCATTGGTTAATTAATGCAAATTAATGGCTGGACTCTTTTTTCCAGACCAATCATCAATCATCTGATTAAATTGATAGATTATTTTGTTACTACTCAAAGCCTAAGAAGAAAAACCTATTATTGGAAGTTATAATTTTTAATTTAATATTTAGTTTTAATTTAACTTAACTTTAGTATAGTTATAAACATAAAAACCATTACCAAAAACCAATATTTGAATAAAAATACAATTTTACATAAACCTTTAGCATTTAACAAAGTAGAACCAAACAGATGAATAAACAAGAAAAACAATTAATGTATCTGTTTCCAAGTCTCTGAAATAGGATCAAAGGAGTATGGGTTTAGAATTAGAAGAGCGCTTAGAGATCACTCAGTCTAATTCTCTCATTTTACCAATGAGGAAATCAAGACACGGAGAAATTCCTTGTCACACAGCTATTAAGTATCTGTCTCAGGTAGGATTCAAACTCATGACTTTCTGACTCCAAGTCCACTATTCTAATTCTATCCTAGGTGCTACTACAACACTACCAAGCATTTGAATGTCAAAAATTGGTCTTACATGAAAAACTGAATTATTAGAGAGAGAGCTGGTTTCTAAGTCAGGAAGATGCAAGTTAAATTCCTGCTTTTTGCACATACTGGCTATGTGACCCTTGTCATATTATTTAAAATTTTAATGCCACTGGTAATTCTCTTGTACCAAGATTCTTGATTCTGTGTGTATGTGTGTGTGTGTTATGGGCCCCTTTGGTAAATATATAAAATAAAATAAAATACATATTATTACAAAGGAAACCAATTATATTGAAATACGGTTATCAAAATATTAAAAAAAACACAAGTTAGTGGATCCTAGGTTAAGGACCCTTGACCTGATAACCATGAGGTCCTGAGCTTTGCTGGTCCATATGAGTAGAGGGAACTTTTTTTCTTTTAGTGTAGAAATGTAGTACAGAAATTTTAGCGTGGAATGTGTATGTGTGTGTGTATGCGTGTGTGTATGTGTGTGTGTGTGTGTGTGTGTGTAAAAGTTCCCTACACAGAAGAAATCACAGATCCAGATTAAAAAATATGTTTTTTTAGGTGACTGTGTTATCCTTTAAATCTCATAGACATGAGCTTTGGACCTAGCAAACTGGTTTTCATTTCTGGTCTTAAAGTTACTATGGGAAGCAGACCCATCCAAATTTAGTGATTATATTTTAGTGAGAAAAGATGCCCACCAGCCTGAAAACAAGTACTAGGAATCCTTGTTGTACCCTCTGGCTAAGGTAACAACTTTCCAAATAGCTTGGGCCAGCCATGTTCAATTGTCTTTAGAGTTCAATGGTATCTAACTACTCCATTTTTTCATTGGTGAATAGTGCTTATCAGGTTGCCTGCTATTGCATTGAAAAGTTGTCAGTTCTCTGACAATGCTTTTTTCTCTAACCAGTTTAATATGACAAGTTTTCAGCTGCCAGCTTGATATGTGACCTGCTTATAGGAATTTTCATCAGGGTCATTTGGAAATCCTCTAAGTCTGGAAACTACACAGATGATATTATATTATCACACAGTATTCTCAAGATTATTTTTCCTTCCTTTCCCTTCCTTTACTCTTCCTCCCTCTCCCTCCCTCTCTCCCTCTCTCCCTCTCTTCTTCCTTCCTTCCTTCCTTCCTTCCTTCCTTCCTTCCTTCCTTCCTTCCTTCCTTCCTTCCTTCCTTCCTTCCTTCCTTCCTTCCTTCCTTCCTTCCTTTCTCTGCCCAAACCTTAATAGACAATTCAGAAACTGCCCCTAATTTCCTAAGTGGCCAATCAGTACAGCCAACAGTTTTGAGACCTGTGGAGAAGCTGGACCATCAAGGAATGAAAAGCTTTGTCCAAGCTATCCTTCCAGGCCAGGGGTGTGGCAGGAAGTGGGGCTACAGGGCATCAGTACTTAATCCATATTTCCCTTCTATATGATAAATGAGAATTTACTGTAGATAAGAAGCAAGGTCTGCTAGGAACTCCGTTTCTCACCTGTGGAAAGACTTGCTCATTTGTGTCTGTAATCTTTTGCAGAAAAGTCCTTAAGATCATTGGATGTCCTTAATTGGTGCTGCAGGTGTCAACTCTAAAGTGTAGAAAGTGCTCTGTGGTTCTTACTTTCCTATATAGCCTTCTGCCTGTGTTTTTCCCTCTGTTTTGTTCATTTCTAGTGCCTGGGTATAAAGGAATAAAGAAAAATCAAGTGATAAAGTCTATGAATAGAGTAGCAACGATAGCATTTAAAAATAAAACTGACGTAAGAATAGATGTTATTATGTGCAGATGCTTTGAAAAAAAATACAACTTTTCTAATTTCATTAACTAATTAACCAACCAATCAATTAATTCCATGTGCTCTGCCATAGGTGGGGGAATAAAATAAATATAAAACATTGTCCCCACCCTCAAAGAGCTTATTGTCTTTTTTCCTCTAGTTCCCAATGTTCTTTTCCAGACCTTGAAACTACCCTATCACTTTTTTAATGTAATTTTTCTTTTTTTTTTAAATTATGAATTCTGAGCAGTTCTTCTCTGTCCCCTTCACTCCTTTGGCTCTTACCAGTGAAATGTCTTGTGTAGGAGCTGCTTTGTGATACATCATGGGATCATAGAAGTAGAGTTGGAAGGGACCTGGATTGAGAAGGGACCTTAGAGTTACAGGGACCTAGAGTGTCCTCTTTTCATTTTTACAAGTGACTTGGCAAAGGTTACCACCTAACAATACAAATTGCTTCTGCTCTTTCAACTTTGCAAAGTGCCTTTTCAATTAATTGATGAATCAATAAGCATACATAATACCATAACCTCTTCTCAGCAAGGGGAGGAGCTGAAGTTTAGTTTTACCAGGTCAAAGGAGGGACTGGTGGATCATGAGAGGGGGAAGCTGGAGAACTTCTGAGCCCCATGGAGTGAAAGATGATGCTACCCCAAAATGAATATAATCGTGAGCAGTCAGAGCCTAGTCTGGCTAGCTGAATCACCTAAGAAGTGATAAGCCTGCACAGAATTTTGTAGTTTCTCTGACTGTCACCACTACTGGGACCTGGGACTTCTTTCTCTTCTCATGCCTCATTGATGACTGGAAAACTGCCATCTTAACCTCAGGTGTTTCCTACTCTCTTTAGACTTTGTTTATTTGCTATACATATTTTTATAATGAGTTTTATCTCCAGATAAAAATAAGCTGAATTTCATTGCACCCTGAGTATTTGCTATAAATAAGCAGAATGTACAATGGGGAAGGATGAAAGGAACCATGGACCAACAGCCCTAAACTTAACCAGAGCCTATTTCTCTTCAGAGACACAGAGGAGCCTCAATACGGTATTTTGTTTTGCAGCAGCAAGGTGGCGAAGTGGATAGACCACTGACGGGATGGTCAGCAAGACTTGAGTTCAAATCTGGCCTCATTTACTAACTGTGGCAAATCACTTAACTCCAGTTACTTGCTTAAAAAGCAGTATTTATAGGGGCACAATGGATAGAGCACCAGCCCTGGAGTCAGGAGGAATTGAGTTCAAATGCAGTCTCAGACCAAACACTTGAGACTTACTAGCTGTGTAACTCTGGACAAGTCACTTAACTCCGGTTACTTCCTTAAAAAGAAGTACACACACACACACACACACACACACACACACACACACACATACACACATGATATATACATGTATATATGCAATATATACATAATGAATGATATGTAATACAATATAATTTAACATATTGTGATCTGAGCCTCACAACTCAATGAGATAGGCACTATTCTACAGATGAAGAGACTGAAGCTGAAAAAGGTTAAGTGACTTACCCAGGGTTACAGAGCTAGAAAGCTACCTGAAGCAGGATTTGAATCCAGGTCTTCCTGGCTCCAAATCCAGTATCCACTCCGTGATACTGCAGAGCTTGGATTTGAACTCAGTCTTCTAACTTGAAATGCAGCAGCATCATCGTGCTTCCCTTCTGTCACTGCCTTGCACCATGGCTTGGTTTTTTGCATAATTTGTCTCTCATATAGATGTGAGGTTCTAAGGCCAGGGGCCAATCACAACACCTTTCAGTATCTCCCACATACCTAGCCAGCTGAGTCACAGGTCTCTAATTAGAATTATTTTTGGTAACTTGAGCATTGCTTCTCTGTTTCATGGCATCATCACATCTCCCTTAATAGAAGTAAAGTTTCATATTCAACAGTTGACTTTTTTTTTAAAAAACTTAATCATTTGCAGAACATGTAGCAATAAATATTTTATAATAATTAATCTTATATAGGTACTTTAAGGTTTACAAAGAGTTTTATAAATATCATTTTATTTTATCCATGCAACTATCCTGGGAGGTAGGTGCTAGCTATTACAATCCCCATTTTACAGACCAGCAACTTGAGGCAGAGGTTTAGTGACTTGTCCAGGATCACATGGGGCAGCTAGTTGGCACAATGGATGAAGTGCCAGACCTAGAGTCAGGAAGACCTGTGTTCAAATCTCAGATGCTTACTATGTAAGTCATTTAATCCTGTTTGCCTCAGTTTCTCATCTGTAAAATAAATTGGAGAAGAAAATGGCAAACCACTCCAGTTTCTCTGCCAAGAAAACCCCAAATGGGGTCATGAAAAGTTGAACACCACCAACCACCACCAAGATCATACTGCTAGTAAGTGGCTGAGACCAGATTTAAACTCAGATCTTCCTGAATCCAAGTCTAACACTCTATGATTGAATGAAGTGGGAATATGAAAGATATGTCATTAACCAGTGAGAGAACCATTCCAAGCCGTGAAGGTGAATGTGCACCTGGGAAGAATCTAAATGGGAGGTGCAGAAGGAAAATATTTTCTTCTGAATGTTATTGAATTGTTTCTAAGAGAAAAAGACAAGGGGAATGGCTTGTTGCCTTGTGATATGGGGGACTATTCACATAGTTTGGAAAGTAGCTGAAAATGTGACTTCCTGACACTTATGTAATTTCATTTTCTTTCTACACTAGATGGAGATTAGACCAGCAACAATTTTGCTTTCCCCATTTTCAGTCACTAACCCTAAGGGGATGTTGTCTTTATGGTTCCAACCCAGGCCTTTTTTTTTTTAAATAAAGTTTACAAAATTTCAAGAGAATGAAAACTGTTGCATTAGTGCTTGGAGCTGGTCTTGGCAAAAGCTAAAGCTTAGCGTTCAATATCCCATTTAAGGTCAGCACCACCCTCTTATACTAAATGGATTTTCCATTAGGCAGCTGGCTTTGTTTCTTTCTAATGAAGTAGATGCAATTCATGCCATGGAGGAAAAACATAATCTTATAATTGACCATTTATTTACCTCTCCACGAAGCCACAAGCCTTTAGAGAAGTGTGGGGATGGTGGTTTTGCAAGTCTTGGAGTGAGAGAAAAGAGAGTTATCTCTTCCTTTATAGGAAGGGATACATTTTTTTTTCTTTTTCTTCCAGAGAGCTAAATTCTACAGGGACAACTGGTGAGTAACAGGCTTCTAATCCCATCTGGGATTTTTTTTTTTCCGATGACTTGAGCTTCGCTCTCACAGCTTATGGCATCACCATGGTTCCCTTGATGGAATTATAGCATCATAATTCACAGTTGACTGTTGTTTATTTTTATGTTTAATCATTTGCGGAACACAGAACAAACGCATTCAAGGGGGTGAGGTGGTTATGCTCCAGCAAAGCTTTCCATCTCATAACTAAGTGCATCACAAGTAATTCAAAGAATGTCACAATATTCCATGGTTCAGTTGGGATTGTCCATGAAAATGAGCAATGCTGACTCACCTTCTCATTGGGTTTTCCTGTTGGAAAAGTTACTCAACCTTGCTTAGCGTGGCTTAATGGAAACCAAACACCAGTTCTGGAATCAGTACACTTGGGTTTGAGACTAGTTCTACCCTTGTGACTCCAGGCAAGTCATCTCATCTCTCGTGGTCTCAGTTTCCTCATCTATAAACTGGGAATAATAATACTTGCATTCTCTACCTCATAAGATTGCTGAGAGGGATACAACTTTGGTAAACCTCAAAGTGCTATATAACTGAGTTATGTCTGCAACTGAGCCTCAGTTTCCTCATTATAATGCAAATTGAATTTAATAAATGAATTGCATGAATGTAAAATGAATTTAATAAAAGATATACCACCTACCTTATAGAGCTATAGAGAGGATCAAATGAGTCAGTGAATATAGCATATATTGTAATTATATTACATATATGAGATAAAACATGTAAAGTACTTTCCACTATATAAATGCTAATTATTGTCTGAGGTACATAACAACTTCACTGTTAGCACGTCTTTTTGTAACAGATCGTAGGTTTCAGAATTAAATAGTAATTCTTGTCATCCAATTTTCTATCTTTCCTGGGTCAGTCAATAAACATTTATTAAATGCCTGCTATGTTCTAGGCACTGTGTTAAGCCCTTAGATCTAAGTAGCTGTAGGTCAGAGGGATATGCTACACAGGACATAATTTAGAGGGAGTACATTATTCCCAGAACACATTTGACTGAATGGCTGGTTTGTAAAATCTTAATAGAAAAAGCTTTGGATAGCAGTAGAATCAAAATTTCTGCCTCTGTTGTTATTTTCCCTTTGAGTGTGAGATGGGTTAACAGTAAAAAAAAAATTCTGTCATTCTGATAACTTTTGGAGCTGAGATAAAGAGACTTTAATTAGAGGATAGCAGCCAGCACTCACCTCAAAAATCTGTAAATTGGTTGCTTGGAACTCAGAATTTATTTATTTTTCATTAACAAAAAATATTCTGGGCCAGATATTTCAAGTTGGAGGGAATCTGCAGCAACCATTTAATCTGACCTATTCATTTTACAGATGAGGAAACTGAGGCCCAAGGAAATGATATGACCGGAAAGTTCACACACTAGTGAGTGCAGTGGCAGAGCCAGGAACCAAGCCCAGATCCTCTGACTTCAGATTCATTACTCTTCTCCCTGGCAGGTCTTTATAAGCCTAGTTAATGGAAATGGTTGAGTGCTACTGGTACCAGTCTGAATGCTGGGTGCTGGGAATAAAGCACCATGTATTACAGGAAAAAGAGAATAAGAACTTCCTACCCCTTTCCTGGTTCAGATCCAATCTAGAGCAAAATTTCAAAATAGGTAAATTTCATCATTGGAACCCACCAACTCTCTTTAAGCCCCTTCCTCCCTTCTCCTGGTTAATCTCTCCCCCAGCCACCTACATGCTACCCAAAGCTCCTACTATATAGCTCTTATACTTTGGGGGATGGGCAGATAGCTCCTGAATTACTGTTAGTACTAGTACTAGTACTACTACTACCACCACCGGTACTACCACTACTACTACTACTACTACTACTACTACTACTACTACTACTACTACTACTACTACCACCTAGTTAACATTTATATAGCCCTTACTATGTAGGAGGCATTGTGTGAAGCACTTTATAAATATTATCTATTTGATCCTCAAAACAACCCTAGGTGGTAGGCGCTATTATCATTCCCATTTTACATTAGAAGAACTGAGGCCCACAGAGGTTAAGTGACTTGCCCAAGGACATAGACCTTAAGTATCTGAGGCTGGGTGAACTCAGGACTTCCAGACTCCAGGCCCAGCTCCCTATCCACTATACCATCTGAAAAAAAAATGCCTTTAAGGGATCTGGTCTCAAGAAGATGTTAGGAGTAAAGCCAATCTATTTGATTAAACCACCTTGAGATGTGATTGATACCCTCTTAACCTTAGAGACCTCTCGACCTAGAGATGCCCTTGTTTAAAAACAAAGATGTGTATTAATCCAAATATCTCCAATTGATGAAGTTAAGGCATTTTAGTAAACTAAAGAGACAGATAAATGATAGCAGACATAGTGACATAGCCTCAGAGTCAACAAGACCTTAGTTCAAGTCAGGCTCAGTCTGGCTGTGTTATCTTGGGCAAATCACTTAACCTCATAATAATCTAGGCAACTCTCTAAGACTGTCAGTTGCTAAGTGGTTAACTGTACCAGTGGAGGGAATTTCCTCACCAGGAGATCCCTATATGGATGAAATCACAGAACTATTTGCAAAAAAAGAAAAGAAAAGAAAGAAAAGCATTTCAGACAGTGGGGAGAAATCTATTTTGGGCATAAATACCAATCCAGATTGAAAAAAGAAATCCCAGGATCATATTCTTAAATGGTCCCTACTTTTCACACATTCTTCCTTACACTTAAGAAATCCAGTTTTCTCAAAGTTCTAAGTTTTCCCTCACAATAGCTTTCCTAGCAGCAGCTCCAACAGTCAAAAGGGAACACAAACAGCTGTTTTTAAGTCAGATATTCTTCAATCACAGATTGCTTCTATGTTCGTTGAGAAGAATGGTTTTGTTCTGAGGAAGAGGAAAAATGAACTCCGTGTAATTTAGCCAAACAACAGAACTAAACACTGCTGGAGATCACTATTCAAACATTTGGCATCTTGTTAGTTGCTCTTTTACCTCTATTCTAGTACACAATTAGGGAGGGAAATCTAGAATCTAGGACATGCAGATTTATGCAAATCTAAATACTCAAATGTTTCTTTACATATTCAAATGTTAATCACGTTAAGTAAAGCTGAAATTAGACAAAGATGATCTCAAAACAATATTTGCTGAGCATGTGTCGATTCAGTCATTTAATAAGCATTTATCAAACACTGGTGCTAGGTACTAAGCTGAGTGGTGGGGATACAAAAAAGGCAATCAATTAGCCAATTAACAGGTATTTATTAAGCACCTATTATGTGCCACTAACTTGGGCACTGAAGATTAAAATACAAAGATGAACTGTGCTTGATGCTTTCAGGGATACTATGGTCACTTATGATGATGACTTTGTTTTGTTTCCCCCATGATATTATAAACTCTTTAAAGGCATCATCAGCAATTAGTACGTAAAATAGTGCAGAATCCATTGCTAAACTGAATGGAAAAGAATAAGCATTCAAAGGGAGAAATAATGATGTCTGGGACAATTGGTGAAAGTTTCCTGGAGGATATAGGACCTAGCCTGGGTTTTCAAGTTTAGAAAAAGAAAAGCAAGCATTCCAGGGTAGAGGAGATGGAAAAGATCGCCTTGAGATTAGTTCTAGCATTTTTTTTTTGACTCTGGGAGCCAATTTCAGCTTCTAGGAAGATGGGTCAAACAGGTATGTGAATTTTATACCCTCCACAGGCTATCACTAGCATTTAGAACACTTCTAGAAGAAACAGAAGACTGCTGAACCTGGATTCTAATTCCAATTCTGCTTACTGTTTGTGGTGTGATCTCATAAAAATCACTTACCTTTTCTGGGCCCTGTTTTTCTCACCTATAAAATGGGAGGGTTGAATTAGGTAATCTCTAAGGTCCCTCCCAGCTCTAAATAGATGATCCCCTGTCGCATCACGGAAATTAGGTGGCAGCTTGTCAAATGCATTGTGGGTATCTCTCTTCATGCCAGCTGTTCTGTTTTTTTCTCAGTGCTCTAAGCATTCCACCCCCACCTAATTAGCTTCCCAAGCACTAACTGTGACAAATTTTACACAGGGATTATTCAAAATGAAAACATCCGATGGAGAACAATTGGCCACAGTTAGCATTAAGCCCTAGGTATGCTGGTGACTAAAAAGAGCCATGTGAAGAATATGATGTTTTGGAAGGAAAACTGAAGTTGGTTTAAACAGAACTTTAGAGTGAGATGACAAGGCATCCTAACCACAATTTGTGCCAGTCCGCATACAGTGTGTTCTTCTTCTGATACAAACCAAATTATCAATGTTCTTTGCTGAGTCCGGGAAGCTGGATGTAGGCCAGGGGGCTTTTCATCAGGTTTCATTGCACCCTCTGATGAGCCTTCTTTAACATTTTCATTAGAAATATTTCCGCAAGAGGGAATTTGGTTGGAAAGTGCCAACTAACTCCTTTATCATCTCTAGTTGTGTCTGAAATACCAAGTGAATGTATTAACATGGACTTTGGAGAGAACAACCGTGTGTGTGTGTGTGTGTGTGTGTGTGTGTGTGTGTGTGTGAGAGAGAGAGAGAGAGAGAGAGAGAGAGAGAGAGAGAGAGAGAGAGAGAGACAGACAGACAGACAGACAGACAGAGACACATAGAGATAGAGAGAAAAACAGAAAGAGAGAGTATGGAGAGTAGGGAAAGTCACACTTTTACCGGAAACACTAAAAACTAGATCAGATGGTATACTTTGAGGAGAAACTGAGAATACACGTTCTGTAATTCACTAAGAAAACTAGATACAACGTGGAGTTGTTTCTTTTTGTTGTTCATGAATAGTAATATAGACTAGACTGATGCAAAAGAAAAAAAAGATGATGATGGATATAAATTACATCTAAAAAATGGACCATTTGGTGAACAAGTTGGGCTTTTCCCAATTCTTCGTGTTCATGATTGCTTTGCCTTTGTGCTAGTTACTACTGGCAATTCTTTATAAAGAATTATGCAGTGATTAGCAGCGTTACCTTT